CCTACCCCCACCCCCCCCCTCCCCCCCTTGCCATGGCAAAGGGCAAATGAGGCAAATGGGTGGAGTTGCTCTTAGGGGAAGGGGGTGGCTGCTTAGGGCTGATGTGGTTTTCTTTTATTTTATGTTTATAAATCTTTTTCTTATTTTTAATATTTTATTAATATTTTAAGCAATTTAAAAAGGTGAGTCCTACATATGACACATTAGCAACTAACGAAATTGCAAAAGATTAACAAACACATGATACCTCATTGTTAAAATTGAAAATGCGAGTACAAACATGCCGTAAGAGGACAACTACATGATACCAAACTAAAATTAAACAAAAAACTAAATTAGTATTCAATTGAGAGGTAGAAGCAAACTACAATTATCCACAAGGCACACCCCTTTCACCTTTGCTGGTTGCTTTATCCACCCGTCCATGGCACCATCCACACACCCCATATAGCATCATTAAGGAGAGAAATGGGTATGGGATCAACTCCTCCCCCCAATCTATCTAATTCCTATATTTTTAGGTATTAGATTACGAATTGTGATTTGAAATCCACATAAATAGAAGTCATAAATCAGAATAATTATAATATCCATATATTAGTAAATGCAAGAGAAGTTCAGAATTGAAATCATTCCAAACCAAAGAAGAACCCCAACCTCTAAATGCTTCACCCACTTCCCAAAACACCCCACCATCAACTGATCCCCAACTTCACACTCCCAAAACCCCCACAAAACCCTCTAAACCAACTCAGCTTTGAACAAAACTACAGGCACATCTGCAACCTCCTCCTCTCCCTAACCCAATCAAGAGCCCTCCCAAAGGGTCTCCAACTCCATGCCCATGTCCTCAAATCAGGCTTCCAAACCATCCCTCTCATATCTCACCACCTCATCAACTTCTACTCCAAGAACCAGCTGCCCCTTCATTCCCGCCAAATTTTTGAAGAGGCCCCAGAAAAGTCATCCACCACTTGGAGCTCAGTCATCTCCTCCTTTGCCCAAAATGAGCTTCCAGTTCTCGCCATTGAGTACTTTCGTCGAATGCTTGGCACGCCATTACGCCCTGATGACCATATATACCCGAGCGTGACCAAGTCCTGCGCGATTTTGAATAGGCGGGATGTTGGGCAGTCTGTGCATGGCTTTGCGGTGAAGACTGGGTTTGAGTTTGATGTGTTTGTGGGGAGTTCAGTGGTTGATATGTATGCTAAATGTGGGGAGATAAGAGATGCTCGGACGATGTTTGATGATATTCCTCACAAGAATGTGGTTTCTTGGAGTGGGATGATATATGGGTATGCTCAAGTGGGCGAGGATGAGGAGGCTTTGAGACTGTTTAAACAGGCCTTGGTTCAAAATTTGGACGTCAATGATTTCACATTTTCGAGTGTTATACGGGTTTGTGGTAACTCCACGCTTCTTGAATTGGGGAGGCAAATACATGGCTTGTGCTTCAAAACGAATTTTAATTTGTCGAGTTTTGTTGGTAGTTCTTTGGTTTCCTTGTATTCTAAGTGTGGAGTGATCGAAGGAGCTTACCGAGTTTTTGATGAGATACCTGTTAAGAATCTTGGAATGTGGAATGCAATGCTTATTGCATGCGCACAGCATGTGCACACGGATAAGGCTCTTGATCTGTTTAAACAGATGGGAAGTGCTGGGATGAAGCCGAATTTCATTACGTTTCTGTGTGCGCTATATGCTTGTAGCCATGCTGGGCTTGTTGAAAAGGGGCAACATTATTTTGCTCTTATGAAAGAGTATGGGATTGAGCCAGGGGAACAGCATTATGCTTCCCTGGTAGATTTGCTTGGCCGTGCTGGAAAATTGGCGGAGGCAGTTAAAATTATTGAGGAAATGCCTATAGAACCAACAGAATCTATATGGGGAGCTTTATTAACGGGTTGTCGAATCCATGGTGACACTGAATTGGCAGCCTCTGTGGCTGACAGAGTCTTTGAGTTGGGTCCTGTGAGCTCTGGCTTGCATGTGCTTATGTCTAATGCTTATGCTGCTGCTGGAAGATTTGAGGAAGCAGCAAAAGCCAGGAAGATGCTAAGAGACCGAGGCATGAAAAAGGAAACTGGTTTGAGCTGGGTTGAGGAGGGAAACAAGATTCACACATTCGCGGCCGGGGACAGGAGGCACATGAGAACTAAAGAGATTTATCTGAAGTTGGAGGAGTTAGGGGAGGAAATGGAGAAAGCTGGTTATGTTGCAGACACAAGTTTTGTGCTAAGGGAAGTAAATCGAGAAGAGAAAGATCAGACTATTAGGTATCACAGTGAAAGACTAGCCGTAGCATTCGGTCTTATTACTTTTCCACCTGATAGGCCAATTAGGATTATGAAGAACTTGCGTATTTGCGGCGATTGTCATACCGCAATCAAGTTTATGTCCAAGTGCTCAGGAAGAGTTATCATAGTGAGGGATAACAATAGGTTTCATAGGTTTGAGGATGGAAAATGTACGTGTGGAGATTATTGGTAATTAAGATGTAACAAATTCATAAACCATTAACCAAAAGATGGTCTGAGACTCTGAATAGTCTAAAATTCCCCCAACAACAAAATTCTTAAAGCTCCCCTTCATGCTCTGGCTGCTGGTTGATCATAAAGCGTGCATCAGCAGACCTCCAGTCGATCTTTCCGTTGATTGTTAGGGACTATAGAGCCTATCTCTTTCATTGGATACAGCAGGAGCTAGTGAGCCATTTTTTCCTGTACCATTTTTTTTTTCTCCTTTTTCTATCCTGAGCACTTGTACATCCATAGATTCAATTAACAGATCATCTATCACATGTTACGGATTCACGATATGCAGGTTTCGAGTTCTTTTTTTATGTTGTCGCCAAAATATGTCTAGATTTTTTTATAATCTAGGTTGTTATGCATGTTGGATGAAGAAGAGATAAGCCACAGCCAAGTCAACATGCCAGATAGCACAGCCAAATTAATAAATGAAACATTAACACCATGGAACAAAATGCAACTCAAACTGCATGTCAACGGCAAAGTTTCGAGTACAATACTAATACAAAAGGCTTATGAGGAGATGGAATGAGCAAACAAGGCTTCTGGTGTAGCCGATTATCGGCACCACCAAGCCCCTTCCCCACAATGGAGGCTAAACTCCCATATTATCTGTGTATATATAAATATATATTTTCCATGTGGCTAAAATTATCAAATAAGTGCCAAGTAAGTAAAAAAAATGTTTGAACTAAAGGAAAGCCTCAACAGAAGGCAGCATTGCTGTGCTTTCAAAACGTTGGACTGGACATTGGCATTGCTATTGGACAATGGACTTTTACACAGTGAGTCAAATCATATGGGCTTTTGAATCCTACAATTATGCTACGACCCTTTATTTTTCTTTGTTTTTTAGTTGTTTACGTTATATTATGTAGTAGATTGTATCATTGTCCGAGATTAAATTATCATAATATATTGATGGGTTGGGTTCTGTCTGAATTTTATGAACTGAGGGAGGTTCATTCGGTGTCTGCTTACATGGTGTCAGAAGGTTAGTTTAGCACTCCAAATCACCTCTTCCGAAGGACAAAATTTATTTTATTTTTGCCCTTAAGCATACTCTTTTCGTTTGATGATTTGGGTCCTCATTGTTACAGTTTTTTTTATTGATTCTTAGAGTATTAAAAAGCAAAAAAAATATACAATCTCTAGATAGCTGTTGTCAATTCTTAAGGGCTGTTCCTGTTTTGTTTTTTATGGTTTTCGTTTCAAATTGTTCTTTGACTTTTTCTTGAAGTTGGGTTTCCTTATTTCTTGAATTTTTATCCATTTGAAGCATTTCTTGTTTCTGGAATGGTGATGATCAGAATTAGCTTTGGATATTGAGATTTTCTCTTTCATAGCACTGTTTATTGTTTGTTGCCTTCCTGTATTTGCTCCATGAGAAAGGCCTTGCTCTCTTGAATTTGTGAAAGAGTATGGGCAGTATGCTCCTCTTTGTTTTCTTCAAGGACATAAGGTAACTATTTGTTTCCCTAAGTGGGCGCCTCTTTTAGCTTATTTCTATTGTCATCATTATCGTTGTTGTATTAAATTCAATAGCTTTGTATTCTACTATCTGGACGCATAGTTAATCTGATTAAAGGTTCAAACGTCTAATTAAATCTGGTTTCTTTTTTCTTTTTGTTGGTTCTATTTGTTAGGATTTTAGTGGCAAACGGATATTGAGATTTTCTCTTTCATAGCACTGTTTATTGTTTGTTGCCTTCCTGTATTTGCTCCATGGGAAAGGCCTTGCTCTCTTGAATTTGTGAAAGAGTATGGGCAGTATGCCCCTCTTTGTTTTCTTCAAGGACATAAGGTAACTATTTGTTTCCCTAAGTGGGCGCCTCTTTTAGCTTATTTCTATTGTCATCATTATCGTTGTTGTATTAAATTCAATAGCTTTGTATTCTACTATCTGGACGCATAGTTAATCTGATTAAAGGTTCAAACGTCTAATTAAATCTGGTTTCTTTTTTCTTTTTGTTGGTTCTATTTGTTAGGATTTTAGTGGCAAATTTATGATTTCTAATTGCAGTTTTTTGCGTGTTATTGCCAGAAATGTTTTCAAAGCAGATGAGCTAGGCCTGGAAATAGTGCATATTTCCCTTCCCACACTGTTGGCGTTATTGGCAGACCCTGTTGCTTCTCTAGTTGACACAGCATTCGTTGGCCATATAGGTTTGTCATATAACAAAGATAATCTTCACTCGACGAAGCTGTGACTTCTTGAATTGTTTGTTTGGGGTTCACAACTGCATTTCCAATCTTTCTTTACATCTTGACCATTTTAGCGGAATCTTTTCTGGGAGATTAAAATGTTAATTTTTTCTCTAAAATCAAAATTTTAAAATGGAAGCTTTTTGTTCATGTTGCAGCTTTTTCCTTTCTAAAGCGGAAAAATCTGCACAGAGCCTTTTTTCCAGGTTGTTTATAGGACAGTTACAAAGTTAATGTTATGAAGGGTCATGATAGGAACAAAGTTAATTACTTGCAAAATCGTGGAAATAGTTATCTACTGGGTTGATTATAGAATTGCAATATTTCATTGCTGGCCATTGAAACTTGCTTTGCAATGAACTACATGGATTAGTTCATCCATTTTATGTATCTATGTACGTATGCTTAACTTCTGCTGCCATGTCCAGGTAGATGTGCCATTTAAATGCTGTTACATTTTCCTTTATTATAGAATTAATACTAGTTATCAACTTATCAATAATTAAGCTCTTGTTACCCAATAATCCATATAGGTCCAGTGGAGCTAGCGGCTGTTGGAATTTCTATTGCTGTTTTCAATCAAGTATCAAAGATAGCAATTTTTCCGCTTGTCAGCATTACAACCTCTTTTGTTGCTGAAGAAGATACTACTGAAGAATTGAGGGCAAATGTACAAGTTCATGAAAACGTTGAAAATGGTACTCCCATTAGCAAGGAAATGGAGATGGAAGAACTCGTACCACTAGTTGGTATATTTCCTCCTTTACTTCCTTCTTAATGTGGGACTACGCTGAATATATGGATAAAGTTGCATATGTTCATAGGAGCTCCTCTATAATTTAATTCAACTATTTAGAATTATATTCACTTATTATATGTTTTTGCTTCAATTTTGAACTACACTCCACAGGCAAGTCATCATCTACGGAAATGGTCAAACTTGAGCGTGTCCGAAGGCATATCCCATCTGCGTCATCAGCATTGGTGGTTGGCAGCATACTTGGGGTTATTCAAGCTGTATTCCTAATTTTTGCTGCAAACCCTGTCCTGAATTACATGGGTGTTGATTCTGTAAGCACTCTTTTGAAATGCTGGAGTCTTTAGATATTTTGTTTTAACCTTTTTTTCTTAAATTCGTGTGATGGAGTACCTAGAACATTAGTCAAGTTGATCTCATATCTTTGTCATTAGCAACTTCAGTTTATTTGTGAGGGTTTCCTTATCGAACCCTTTTTGTTTCCTTATCCAAGTATATTGTCTTTTCTGCCTACAAAAAGAAAAGAAAAGGAGGGGGGAAGTTCTTACATACCTATAGTTTTTATGAAAATCAGGTAGGGATTAAGTTAGGTAGTACTAGTAGAGATGGAACAAACTTACGGAGCAATGTTGCATGATGGAAATTAAGATTGTTCTCTCTGCCTCATATCTTCACAAGAGAGAGAGAGAGAGAGAGAGAGAGAGAGCTGTGCCTTTGAGGTGTGGAAGATCTCATATCTGAGACCTACAATTTTTTTGCTGGGTATGTTTCGTGGGAACTTCCAGTGGTACTACTGAATCATTGTTTCTGCACTTTTTATTAGATTCAAATGCTTACAAGGATGGATTAGATGTGTTGAAGTCAATCATTTTCTATGTGTTTAATGAGTACTAAATTCTTGAGTTATCTGTATTCAGAATTTGAAGTAAAGCACATTCGGATTCCTTATGTTTGCAATGTTGTTCAGATGTACATAATTTACTTGTTGAAGTTGTTCCGGTACTTCACATATATAAGTCCTGAATTTTCTACAATTCTTATGTTGATGTTATATTTCTCACATAAGTTTGTTTTTCTATTAGAGAATGCGCTTCGAGTTCATCTCTATTTGCCTTTTGGTTCTATATAAAATTACTGAAGTTTAAGATATATCTTGGCATGTATAGCGAATTCAATAATGACAGTTTCTTTTCTTTTCTTAATGCAGAATTCTCCTATGCTAAAACCAGCAAGACAATACTTGACATTGAGGTCACTTGGTGCTCCGGCTGTTCTTCTCTCTTTGGCTGTGCAAGGGGTTTTTCGTGGTTTTAAAGATACAAAAACTCCTTTATATGCTACAAGTAATCTAAGACTTCTCTCTTTCTTTTTAATTTATTTTTCTTTTTTGACTATTTTAATGGACAGTAATACTTTGTCAATGCAATACGAGCATGACCCAAAAAAATGCAGTGACTTCATTAGCTTTTGAAACAAGTATAATCTTCTCCCAGAATTTGAACTGAATAGTTTCATTCTGCAATGGAAGATCATTATGAAGATCCATGTCATTATGGCATTCATAATTTCTATACCAATATATCAGATCCAGGGGGATGACTATCAAATTGAATTGGATTGGGTCTGGGACATCATTTGTGTCCTCCATTATTCTTTCTTCATCCTGTCATTATATCATTCTGATCCTATTCTCAGTTTCAAGCATAAAATCTCAAAACTAGCAATCCTCCATTCTTGTCTTGTCTTCACCTCCAGGGAAGTGATACTGGCGTAAGTTTTCAAGTTTCTTTTACTCATGATCAAACGATGGCATTAGTCTCAGTTTCGTATGTAAAAATGTAAATACCAACCATTTATCCTGGATTTGTCTTGTTTTCCATTGTTAGGGGTTAGGAATCTGTTTCATTTAATTCACTGTTTGTGTTATATTTTATGCATCCATCTTATGAAAAGATTGCATTTGATAGTTGATCCAAGTTGTAGAATGCTTGAATCCCATATATATCTGTTCATTGACTTGCACATTTAGTCTTCCAGTTATTTTTTGTTTAACAATTGCTTATACTGCTAAATAATCAAGGAAGAAAGTATCAATGATCTAAAACTTTGCAAACACTAGAATATGTATTGTTACTAAGTATGTGTATATGCACATATTTTGTCTACATTAACAATTTCATTACTTGTTGGGGGTAATTCTAAATTTAGTTCTATTGAGCAGATTCTGCTCTGAAGGATATGAACTCGTCATCTTTGTTGGGTTAATTTGACTGAAATCCTTCTACATGTTTTGTTTCTTTAAATGTAGTTGTGGGAGATGTAGCAAACATCATTTTGGACCCAATATTAATGTTCGTATTCCATATGGGTGTTAGAGGTGCGGCCATTGCCCATGTTATTTCTCAGTAAGCTTATCTTTGGCTGATGGTAATTGATAAGTTCAGACCATTTGCCAAGACTTCATTTCTTCTTCTTTTATTTTTTATTTTATATTTTATTTTAATTTTTTTGTTAGCATAAATGACACTCTTTGGCATCTTTGCTGCTGTTTCACTTTATTTGTGATCATTGTAGGTACTTAATATCCCTGATATTGTTGTGGAAATTAAACAAGCAAGTTGATCTCCTAACTTCAGGTGTCAAAGATCTACGATTTGGCCAGTTTCTGAAAAATGGTAGAGGCTTCTATTTCTTTTTTTATTTGTAAGTAAATAATTTGCAAGTAGAATTTCACCAGTCCTTAGATAATGAATCCATGTCTTTGGTATTATTGAAACTCAAGGCCCCAAATATGTCTTAATATATATGTACAAAAACACTGATAGCCTCATTTACATTAGAATTCTGATGTAGTACAGCCCGTAGGTGTTAGATTAAGCACTTAAACAATAGAACAGAGAAGAATATAAGAGACCGAGGAGAAGAAATAGAGATCGAAAAGACGAGATAAAGGACAGAAACAGCAGAACAAAGAAGAATATCTGAGATCGAGGAGAAGAAATATAGATCGAAGGGACGAAATCAGAGAGTTCTAGGAAAAGGTTTACTCAACATTCAAATCTCAATTTTAAAGAACTACATGGGGGCATTTATAGCAAACTAAAACCTAGACATAATAGGATAAAAATCCCTTGCTTAAACAGAAACCCTAACCCAAATAAAATAGGAAACTTAAAACTAGAAATCTGGAAATCTGGAAAAGTAGAAATCCTACTAGAATTGGGAAAACTAGAGAATCTAGGAAACTAACAAATACATTAGGAAACTAATAAATTTAGGTCATATGCGTCTTGCATCAAATTCACTGGCCTATAGTCGAGTTCCCATATCTTCTCGAGCAGGTTTTCATGAAGTTGAAAGGTTTGTTATTATCTTAAAGGCATTATGATCATTATTTTCGACATTCAAGCTATTTTACAAGAATGTCTTGTGTTGGCCTTTCTCCCATTATAATCTAAATTCTCAACAAACAAACAAAATTCCTTCACTAGTTCCTCATTTTCTGGTATATGGTTTTTCTATTAGACACTCATAGAAAATAGTTTCTTGTTGATTGTTCCATAACTTTATTTTTTGGTCTTGGATCAGGGTTTTTGTTATTGGTGAGGGTGATAGCTGCAACATTCTGTGTTACTCTGGCAGCAGCATTAGCTGCAAGGCAGGGACCAACGACAATGGCTGCATTCCAAGTTTGCTTGCAGATCTGGTTGGCAGCCTCTTTGCTTGCTGACGGGTTGGCTGTGGCTGGACAAGTAAGTAATGGATTTTGAAAAGAGAATGGATTGATAGGATGGTAATTTACATTCCTGACATCCCACAATTTTGTGGACTTATCATGTTCAAATAAGAATTGCACTTCACTTAAGAATGTATAGAAATTGTAACAAGCATAGTAAAAATCTACAACCTATGAGCATGGTGTTTGGCCATATATAGACTATCTTCTGTATATATCGTTTCAGAAATTATGTTTTGCTCGTGTTAAGAATCACATTTTGCTCTGTTTTAAGGCAGTCTTAGCCTTGTTTTATTTGCTGTAATTCTGTTGTTTCTTATCATCTATAACACCGTCTTACTTAACTTTCAGGCAATCCTTGCAAGTGCCTTTGCAAGGAAAGATCACAGCAAGGCCGTCGCCACAGCTTCACGTGTATTGCAGGTAGCCTAACTTTTGAACATATCAATTTACTCTTTTCTCTTGTCATATTTTGAATTGCTTATGGTTCTATTATGCAGTTGGCTTTGGTTCTAGGGCTAATGCTCTCGATCATCCTCACAGTTGTATTACAGTTTGGATCCAGAATATTTACAAAAGACGTCAACGTTTTGCAGCTTATAAGTTTAGGCATCCCGGTATCTCTCTCCCCTTCTGCCCAAGCAAAGAAACAAATAACTTTTTTTTTCTTGTTCCATTAGTTCCAGGGTAATTTTAGAGCTGAGACTTCTTTTTTTGTTTTTGTTTTGGCTAGTTTGTTGCAGTGACTCAACCTATTAACGCTTTAGCATTTGTTTTTGATGGAGTCAATTACGGAGCATCAGATTTTGCATATTCTGCATACTCAATGGCAAGTCTAACGCTTGTTGCACTCTTCATCAATTATTTTTTATTTTGCTTCTTGTTTACCAGTGGTAGAATAGATGTCTGTACAGAAAAATCTCTCTCTCTCTCTCTCTGATTATTCTCTGTTAATTCCAGGTTTTGGTGGCTTTAGTGAGCATATTGTGCCTATTTCTATTATCAAGCCATGGCTTTGTTGGAATCTGGGTTGCTTTATCTGTCTTTATGAGTTTGCGCGCACTGGTTGGATTTTGGAGGTAAACCCAGTTGACAATCTCTACTTTTTTTATATTTATATTTATATCAACTAATTTAAGTATAAAGGAAAAGTGTGCTTTCTGTAGTTGTTGATCCTTTCGTATGATAGAAAAATGACTACCACAATTAATCTTTAAAAGACCATGTAGCAACTAAATTGTTTAACAAAGATTGTTGTCATAACATATTTGGTGATCTGTAAATTCAAAGTTGCTTCAACAGCATGAAACCTTTTGCAGGATAGGAACAGGGACAGGACCGTGGAGCTTTCTTAGGGAGTAAATTCTGAACAATATGTTTCTGCATATATTCCTTCTCTTCCAAACATTATTGTCGCGCATATCTTACAAGCTCAACAGAAGGGCAAAGAGGAAACTCTTACGAGGGGATGATATTACTGATCTGCCATCACCATTTCTTGTTTGGGGATGATTGAGATAACCACACATATGTAACGAAAAACAAGAGAGCACCATTCTTTTACTGCTGTCTCAAGTTAGGTTGAATGAATCGTAATTGGTGATCTATACTGTTGTTTATGTTCACGCGTGAATTATGATAAGCATTGGGTGACTGTCAACTGTTGATGCATGTAGACTATTGTCAGCCGTATTCACATGCATCAACAGTTAACATTCATCTACAAGTGCATGGGTGATTGTTCTTAGCACCCCACGGATTCACGTCCTTTAGCATCCCCAGTTAACTAGATGGCAAACTAAATCCCTCAAAAGATCTTATTTACCATGTTTGTTTGTTTGTTTGTTTGTTTTAGAAAGAGAATTTATTTATAAAACCAAAGGCATACAAAGAGCGACACAGTACGGTGGCCTCGTTAAAACCTTCATAGGACATCCTCATGGGACAAACCCTATGGGAGGAAAGAGTACCACACATGTTATGAACAACATGGGCGATTGTTCTTAGCACCCCACGGATTCACGTCCTTTAGCATCCCCAGTTAACTAGATGGCAAACTAAATCCCTCAAAAGATCTTATTTACCATGTTTGTTTGTTTGTTTGTTTGTTTTAGAAAGAGAATTTATTTATAAAACCAAAGGCATACAAAGAGCGACACAGTACGGTGGCCTCGTTAAAACCTTCATAGGACATCCTCATGGGACAAACCCTATGGGAGGAAAGAGTACCACACATGTTATGAACAAATAAGAGAGTCCGATTTAGATACAATAAAGAACAAATCAAAAACGAAAACTAATAGAAAGACCCCTGACGAGAACCGCAACAGTAGACCCACATGAGAGGACCGCAAAACATCCCAACTGTTAAAGGAAGCCGTTGATGAGCAAACTGGTAGTCCTTTGACACCCACACAAACTGCAAGTCATACCAATAGCAGAAGCCAGAAGAGAACACGGAGGAGGAAACACAAAACAATATTGAAAAGGACCCCTGAGAAGCACTCCACTTCAACTCATAACTTGTTGATGACATGTCATAAACAATAGATCTTATTTACCATGTTGATGACACTAACTTATGTGGCAGATGAGATGACAACTCACGCATATCTACCACATGATATGGCACAAAATAAAAAGAAAACCACTTATAAACACCAACAGCAGCAGCGACAACAACGTTGTATGTAGTGTAGTGATCATCAGGGAATGAAAGGAATGGCGATAACATACAAGTCATTCTTCTTGACAGCAGCCAACGTGATAGATTCCGTCATGTCAAGCTGAAGCTGTTGCTGCTGCTCTTGTTCTTCTTCTTCTTCAGTGGCATTAATGGCATTTTTTAACACAACAGGAGGGGAATGTGGAGGGAGTTTCCAGTTAAAGTGGTAGAGCAGTTGAGCAAGTGCAAGCTCGACGGATGTAGTTCCAAATAATATGCCTGGACACATTCTCTTACCTCCCCCAAATGGAATAAATTTGAAGTCGTTCCCTCTAAAATCAACCCGACTACCTTGGAATCTCTCAGGCATAAAGCAATCAGGATTTTCCCAGTATTGAGGGTCTCTCCCTATCCCCCAAGCATTGATTAACACTCTCGATTTACTTGGTATATCGTACCCGTCAATTTTATGGAATAATAAGCCGCTTTGATCATCATCATCTGCTTCAGCTAATTGCCTTGGGATTAAGGGAAGAGGAGGGTGTAATCGTAGAGTTTCTTTTATCACCAGCTTCAAGTAGTCTAGCTTCTTCATGTCTTCATCTTCAAGTTTTTTCTCATTTCCCAGTCCTGCAACAACGTGGCGTACCTCCGCCTGTGCTTTCTCCATTGCTCTAGGATTTCTCACAAGTTCTGACATTGCCCATTCTGTGGTAGCCGCTACAGTCTCACTTCCAGCAAAATACAAGTCCTATAAAAATAATAAAGATATTTAGTTATAACCCATTCTTAGCACTAATGATATAGATAAATCCTATATTATTTAATTTCTATAAACAAATCCAAAAAAAAGCTTAAAAAATGACAGCTGACTCTATTGAATTTAATTCTGATTATTAAATTACTTTGATGTCCTATTAAGTGTTTTGGGTTTTTT